AGAGTAATTGAACAATGCCAGGACACAAGCACTACGTTTTAAAATTGATTTTGTTGTCCGTTTGACTTTATATCCTCTCTCTCTGCTATTTGTTAATGACTGTGTGACTTTTTTCAGGCTTCCAGTCAAGCTGTTTGGAGGCAGGAGTCTCCAATTTTAAGACATGTGGACTTCAACTCTCAGAATTTTGGCAGCTGTAGTCCATAAGTCTTAAAAGCCGACATGTCTTAAAGTTGAAGACTTAAAGAGTGAAGACCCCCTGCTTTAAGGAGGTGACTTGTTAAAGTAATCCTGATCCTTAATCCAAGATGCAGGTACAATTTTCACCAGATTTCTGCCTGTTTTAGGGAGCAATTTTAAAACCCAAGGACCCCAACCCCCCAAAACACAAAACCCCAAAGGAGCTCTGGAAAGCCTTGTAGGGCTTATGGACCTAGCATGATTCAGTGCTGAGCTATTCCACTCCCATCTTCCACAAAATACAGTTACTGTACATTGATTGTCTTGGGTAGAAATCCTACATACAATATGCCCACTTAAATTCATTGGGGCTCACTGCTGGTAGACCGATAAAGGACTGTAATTATAGAATTCTGCAATTTCATATTTAACTCTTGCTGTGCATTTATTTTACAACGCCCCCCACGGTGTGCCACTGTAGTAAATTTCAGTTTAACCAAATATATTATTCTAGTTGAATTATAACTGTTTTTAATTTGCATTGCAAATCACCCAGCAACGGCTTGTGATATTCAATTTACATAGGCCTTAAAACAAATAAAGCATTTAAAAAAATATTACTTTGAAGTACGCAGAATCACTTTTTTTTTCTTTTAATGACCCTGTAATTCCTTGCATCGGGGTAGAATTGGGGCAACTGAATGGAGCTCAAGTGTTTACTTGAGGCCCTTCCTGACACCTATGCGGAGTTCGCAGCAGACAATATAATTCATTGCGCCCAAAGACAGAAACATCTGCCCCTATCTGAACTCACAGCCCCTTAATTGTGAGGGAAGAGCTCCACTCCTAGGCCACCATGCCGCTCTATGCAGGATCCCTTTGAATGAGAAGTAAATGCACCCCAAAAGTATGATGTGTGTGCTTAATTTATTTCCATTCTGAGGAGTCCTCCAGCATTTCCCATCTTTGTCTGACCTCAAACAGTGGCACCCAGGAGGGTCTTCAGTCCTCTATAATGGGGGTCCCCAACCCCCGGGCCGTGGACCAGTACCGGCCTGCGGCATGCCAGCAACCGGTCCGCACAACCAAGGAAAGCCCCATCCGCAGGATGCAGGCAGCACACAAAACCACATACCCTCCGGTCTGCGGAAAAACCTCTCTCCATGTAACCAGTCCCTGGTGCCCAAAAGGTTGGGGACCTGTGCTCTATAAGCTTGGTTGTTTGCTTACAGACATTTCATCACAAACCAGGTAACATCACCAGTGCTAGGAGTAGGGGTTGCTCCCTATTTATAAACAATAGTTGCCCTGCCAATGTTGATTGGCACATGGTTTCTCCTTGATGCTTCCTGGGTTTGAATATTGTTTTCTGCTATCAACAAGCTCAAAAGAGCACCTGTCCATCCAGATCAGTAGTTCTCAACCTTTTTAATGCCGTGACCCCCAACCGGTCGTAAGTCGAGGACGACTCAACCGGTCGTAAGTCGAGGACGACTCAACTGGTACAGCACCGTTTGCAGAATGGGACTTTTGGCAGGCTGAGCAGGGCAGAGACAGCCTGGACAATTCCTATTGGCTTTTGAAAGCCAATAGAATTAGACCCTAATCAAGAGAGTCTATTCTATTGGCTTTCAAAAGCCAATAGAATAAAAGGGAGTAGCACAGCTAAGGAAAAGGGGGGAAAAAATGGCGGACCGCGTTGTTTGGTGACCCCCATGAAATGGTCGTTCGACCCCAGATGGGGTCCCGACCCACAGGTTGAGAACCACTGCTCCAGAGGGAAAACTCCCACCAACTAAAGATACCCAGAGGAAGGGAAACGGTCTCTCTTCACCGCTGCTTGGTAAGTTGCTCCACTTCGACTTGAAGGCTGTCGATCTTGTCACCGAATTCCAGCTTGAAGAGCCGGTTGTCCTCCTGTAGAGACTGGCATTCTCGCTCGGACAGCTGCAATCTGGGTATGAGCCACATGAACTTGTGATAAAAAACAAAAGCTATGGTGGGGGGGGGGGGAAAGACCAAATTGAAACCATAAATAAAAGAAAAAAGCTGAATGAGAGATGAAGGGAGGAGTGTGGAAACGAGAAGGTGGGCGGGGACAAAAAAAACCCAAAATCTAACGAAGAACTTAAAAAAAACAACAACGGGTGAGGTGAACCAGGCAGAAGGAGCGTCTCTTTTCCATTTTTTTTATTCTATTACTACAGTTTACAGTCATTAGATGATAAACATAAAACATCACTTTTATTATCCATAGTCAAAGCAAATCTCAAGTACAGAGTAAGGTGAAAAGGTCTTGGTGGGTTCTTCGTTACGTTACACGGCAGCTTTATACAAGTAACCGGGACTCGCGTCGTGGGATACCTAGGTTATTAGTGCATTTGTCTAGCCTCATCCACAACTGTCACATCAGGCAGGGGAAGCACGCGAGGGTTCCAGACCGAAGGCAAAAAGTTGTGGGCTGTTTGTTTGAGGGTTCCCAGACTATTTCGGGTGCTGCTCAATGAGAAGAAAGGGGCAAAGTATACTATCACAACACAGAAACTGATTTGGGCTACTTGAATCCACCAACCAGGGGGCAAATACTTAGGGTGAAGGCTTCACTAGAGGGTGGTCAGGTAGAATGGACTGTTCTTCCAACAGAAGGACGACACCTGCCTTTCCACTTCTGAGGCGGGCTCAAGAATTCCAGCCAAGTGGCACCATCTGACAGGTAGGACTCAAGAGGAGATTCTTAGAAAGTATCCCTGGGTGGAAAACAGAGAGATCCTGTCCCAAGTGGGCCACCTGTATGTTCACACTGGCCTTTTGTTAATGGCCAGTTGGCAGCTGCAGAGGAATTGAGGCATTGGTTAGAGCAGCGGTTCTCAACGTTTGTGTGACGGCGACCCCTGCCACACAAACATTATGTGCATGCGCGGCGGTGCCCCTGGAGGCGCGGTGGCGCCCCCATGTGCAGCGCGCATGCGCGGCGGCGCCCCTGGAGGGGAGAAAATGGTGGATCGCCGCCTTTGGCGACCCCCGAAAAATGGTCGATCGACCCCAAATGGGGTCGCGACCCATAGGTTGAGAACCGCTGGGTTAGAGGGTGCCCATTGGCTATCAAAGCTCAACCTTTGTCACAAGGGCGAGAGACACCGGTGGGACAAATTCTACCGTACAGAAATTCTACGGAGAAGATCTTCCCTGCCTCCCATTGGAGTCGAGCAGGACTCCTAGGCCTGCGTGAGGACCGTCTCTCTCACACAGTGAGTGAAGAGCAACCTAAGAGTAATTCCCAAATGACTTCCTTGCAAAAACCAGAGGATAATAGCCTACACAAAAGAGAAGGGTCAGCAGCTTCTTTTACAGAGCAGAGAGGAGAAAGAGATACAGAAGAACATTGTCTATCTATCTACTGTCTGTTGTCTCAACGTAGCAATTGCTGAAATTCTAACTTCCTTCAATAGCATTCACTTGTACGAAATTCTTGGATGATGTTTTATGAGTGGTGGTTTCAGTCCTGTCTGTTGGGTAAAGCCTGAGAGCTAGGAAGCAAAAAACCTCATTTCTCAGGGATGGTTTCATTTTTTTCCTGGGAGCAAAGGATGACTTCGAAGGGTATTTTACATAAATGGGCCTGTGGATTAAAAAATATGAAGCAATCTATTGGTGTAATTGGCTAGGCACCAACCTAGGCTAATCTTGAAAAGCTTAGCACAGAGATGTCAAACTCAATTTCATTGAGGGCCGCATCAGCATTGCGGTTGTCCTCGGGGGGGGGGGGGTAGGTGTGGCCAGGATGGGCGCGACCTACTGGGTGGGCATGGCTGGAGTAGGTGTGGCCTACTGGGTGGGCGTGGCCAGCTGTACATTGTTCCTGTCAAGGGTGCCTGTGGGGGCCTGGGCAGGAGTAGGACAGATCTGAGGGTCTCTGGTAGAAGGGGGTGGGACAGGGGCAAGCGCCAAGGCATGGTCCATTTCTTCTTTCCTCACAAAGAGTGACACCTCCCCAGCATGCACCTAAGGGGCGGGGTCAATGCGGCAGGGGCTGGTTCCTCAATGTTTCCAAACGGCCTTGTGGAGCTAAGACTGAATGCGTTTCAGCATAGATGGCCACCACAAAATTGTACATTGGCTCCTGGCCGGCCTGGGCCAGGGCAAAGGCAGCGGGGGCCGTTCCCTCATTGTTTCCAGGATGGCTTCGCGGGCCACATGAAACCACTTCGCGGGCCGCATCTGGCCCCTGGGCCTTGTGTTTGACATGTCTGGCTTAGCAGATCTGCTTATCACATGGATGGAAAAATACCAGAGGTTATCGGGGTTGTAAGCTTCCAGGTTATAAACATCCCAGAAGAAGTTAAAAGGAAAACTGCTATCCTACTATCACCAAAACAGTTGGTCACGATTGCGAAGTCAATCGGAATTGTCTTTAACCAGAAGGAAGCAGCATCCGCCCTGTTTGGGAAGAGATCCTTTCCCTTCTCTTGCGAAAATCTGAGGGTGATTCTCTACCCCTAAATTACTTGACTGGTGAATATCAGCCAGAAGACACGTCCCATGGAATGTGGTTTTATGAAAACTCCAATTATAATTCTAGGGTCTTCTCACAACGTTAACGATACCCCGTTTAAGAGACGGTAATGAAAAGGCTAATACTTTTGGACAGGATTTGAACATGCCACCCCCAAATCAACTTTCTTTCCAAGGTTCCGTAAAATGAATGAATCAATAAATCTGACAGATGGATTTATAAGCTATGAAGTGAATCAGATTTTACAGCCATGTGGATTGTAAAATCAAGCTACTATATTTTTTGTTTCCATCTTTTTTCCCCTGCATTTCCCCATTTTTCTGGACCAAACAAAGGTGATTTATACAGGAGGAAACAATTTCAATCCTAATGGGAATTTAGAAGAACACATCTTTTATTTCTTTCGCACGCGGCTATTAAATAGGGACGTGTCCTAGGGTTTACGCTTCACCGAATTCTCAATCAATACAGCCCAAAGGATTCCTAGGAATGCTGGAAATGTATCCCCCTACATTTGGAGAGCACTTGGTTGAAGAACAACTATTTAAGTTAGGGGGGAAAAAATAGTGTGGATAGTTTGAGAAATGTTGATTAATTCTCCACACTTTCTTACAACCCCCTCCGGTTTCATCAGAATGAGGAAAAGAAAAAAAAATACATTGTTAAGTTACAACATGGCGTTTTAGTAGACTTTCTAAGGCTTAGATGCCCTTTCACTACGACTCCTAGCAAACCTCTTGTTTGATCAAGATCACTCCGAATCGAATGTTAATAGCGGCCAGAGATAGCTTTGAACAATGGCCAGGTTATTTTTCACTGTAGCTGCTTTTAAGTCGAAGAGTGATCCACAGTAAAACACTACCAGTTCTGTTTATCCTTTTTATATATGAAAGGGACAATGATTCAGTCTTTTCTAAAAGAGCAAGGGAAGAAGGCAAGACACATATATTATAAAAGTCCACCAGGAAATGAGAATCACTATATTTTAGGGAGAAAAGGCAGAGGTAGAAGTCAATGCAAAGGGAAAGAAGGGTTTACCAATTAAAAAAATAGCTAACAGCTAGAGTTTGCATCCATGTCACCTAAAGGGGGTGAATGAATTATTCCCCCTGTTGTGAAAGTGGCCTGCACTGGCCTGTTAGCTTAGCTTGTCCTCGGATTGCTAAAAAATTCCGGTTACAGCTTTGAGCAATGAAAATTGGCGTGATTTGCATTGTCTGGGGGGGGGGGTCTTCTGAATATTTATTAATACCCACCCACCACGGCTACGTCAAACAAAGGATTTTGGTCATTTCAGATGGATCGGCTGATAGCCTTAAAAGAAAATTCCCAGAAAAGAGAGTGGGACAAGGCGATTGTTCTCAACTGCAAGCCGAAGAAAAATGCAAGCAAGAGAGAGTCCAGATGGAGTTGACTCTGTTCTCTGAATTTTCATCCAGCTTCAATTGGGACGATTTTAAGCACAGCATCTGGGGAACGGGAATATCCCCTTACGGAGGATGCTTTGCAGCCCCTCAACACTCATTTTCAATTTACAAAACATCCTGAGCAAGGCTCAGGCAGAAAGGCGTGCAGTGCAGACAAGCCTTTGGTTAATAATGGCCAAATGCTTCTAAAAGCAACTTCTAACCCTGTTGTGGGTCTGTCCTGCTTATGATCAAGTGGAGCCACCACACCTACAAAAATGGTGGTTTCCTACAGGCTTCCAACTTCTCTGCCTCTGTTTCCCCCCCCCCCCATCTACTTCACAACAGGGAAATCAAGAACTTCTTCTTTTGAATTTGAACATTTGGGGTGAGGCAGAAATATTGCTACGCTTTTCTATATTATGTTGTAAAAGCTAAAAAAAAAAATGTGCGGTATACACAATTGCATGTACGTAGCCACAAATCTGATTTTAATTCTATCTTCTTTCTGGAGTACTCACTGATCAAATTGCTCGTATTTTAATAAAGTTTAAGCGTTCACCAGGGAAAGGGGAAGCTAGAAGTTAATTTTTCTGTTTCTGAATAAAACCTTTTTTTAAAAAAAAAAAAAATCCCCATCAAATTCCACGTCGACTTTAGTGACAACATGTAATTCTGACACCTAAATTCTCAATTTTTTTGTTTTTTGCTCTTCGCTCGTAACAGAGCTGAGATGTCAGAGCTGCGATGTGACCGGCTGCAAAAATTAAAATGTCTAGTGCGGCTTCTGAATTAATTTGTTTGCTGCGCTATTTAAGGTTTTTGCCTGTTTCACCAAATCCTTTTCACTATAAGGAGGGGGGGGAAAGGAAACAAAAATGATATGTGGAAAATGGGGGGTTGGAGCAGAGAAAATACGCAATAAAAGAAAGTACCAGTTAATTGAACAGATATCAGTGGTTATATATTACAGTACTTTAAATAAGCACAGCTTAAATATAATTTAAACTCTTGGAACTTCGCTTCATAAGAACAAGGCACATCAATACATATATATCTCAAAGTTATGTCTTTTCAAACATGTATGTTTTAGATTCCTTTACAGGAGGGCCTCGACTTACAGCCTTTTGCTTAGTGACCATTTGAAGTTATAATGGCAATGAAAAAAGTGACTTATGACCATTTGTCGTGCGCGACTGTGGTGTTCCCATGATCACGTGACCAAAATTCAGACACTTGGCAACTGGCATGTACTTATGACAGTTGCATTGTCCTGGGGTCATGTGATCGCCTTTTGCAAATTTCTGACAAGCAAAACCCATGGGGGAGCCAGGTTCACTTTACAACCATGTTGCTAACTTAAAAATAGCAGTGATTAACAGCCAGAAAAGTTATAAAACAGGGCAAAACTCAGTGAACAACTTTCTTGCTTAGCCACAGAAATCTGGGGCACAAATGTGATCGTAAGTCAAGGACTTAACAGAAGTGGCAAATGTTTTCTCGAATTGCTAGCATTGAATTTATTGGATTCAGTTCGAATATCTCATTAAGTTGCAATGTGATATGCTAGGTGAGCTTAGCATGTCAACAACCCAACCATCATGGATTGTAAATGAGGGTTATGGCCTACATTTTTTTCGGTTGGTATACGAATCAGTTACAGGATTATACTGTATCCTCTATATTTTCCTTGTAGGATCCAAAATAATACGCGTACATTTCTTAAGTTTCCTTCCCATCCATGCATCGACCTTTTCCAGATTTACTTAGCTTTAAAAGATGACAACTTCATGCATTCTCAGATCATTCTACTGAGTCTGTGAATTGTTACACTCTCTGTTTTATTTCTATTACTTTTGACACATGTACATTAATCTGATTTTCAATCATTGCAACATCTGATTGAACAGTGTTAAATATTCATTTTTTGAAACTGGATCCTTTTCAAACATCAGAAAAAAGTTCCATGAAGACTTTTTTTAATGTCTTCAGTAATTAAAATATCTATCCCTTTATAGTCCCATTCTCCTTAATGACTGCTGAGTTGCATCAAAAATAAGCTACCACAGGATATGATTCCAACTATCGGTGGAATATTGAACAAACCCGATATGCATCACTTTTACAGCACATTATATCAACTAGATTTCAGTCTATAAAGAAATGGAGAACATAAGAGTTACATTCTGACTTTTCCAATTTTACATTAAATTATCAATCTCTGGTGCCAAAACTAACCGTGCACATTAAGATTAAGATGTTTGTAATTAATATGTTTGTAGTTAAATGAAGAACTCAGAACTTTACCTTTGTTGGCAAGTAATTTTATTCATAGCGCCCCCCCCCCTTTAAATCCTGTCATTAAATCAGCACGGCTTAGACTAGCTTACTTTTAGCCTGGGTGATGATGATGTCTGGAGGTGGTTAGATTAAGAGGATTAAGTTTTTTATTAGAACTAGCCTGGTAATCGGTAGATGCTGCAAAACAATGGCTGAAAATGTTAGGAACCGAGGTGGCGCAGCAGTTAGAGTGCAGTACTGCAGGCCACTTTAGCTGACTGTGTTCAGCAGGTCAGCGGTTGGTTCAAATCTCACCGGCTCAAGGTTGACTCAGCCTTCCATCCTTCCGGGGTAGGTAAAATGAGGACCCAGATTGTTGGGGGCAATTTAAATATATATATACATTGCTTACTGGTGTACACCACTTAGAGAGTGCTTGCACTTAAAGCGGTATATAAGTCTCATAAATAAATAAATAAATAAATAAACTCTATTCTTGTGGAAAATTGAAAGGATTCTTACGAATTCCAGAGGGTTTTAGCAGAGAGATTTATTGTGCAGGTTCAGAAGCAATAGCAACAAGCAATTCTGAACCCCGAGGGTGGGTTCAGACTTCAGTTTTATATTTCTCTTTTTTCTTTCTCAGGAACAAAAGATTACACACTGGAATACACATTGTAATACATTAGGTTTCTCACGGGTATACAATGGAGAGTTTGCTACATAACATTGTATCCAAGTGCAATGCGCATTAGGTTAGTCACATACTACTCACACAGCACTATTCCAGTAATTACGCAGACAAATCATTATTCTAATGATTGTTCATTTTCCATATTACTATAATGCTGGTGCATTTAGAAATGCACCGAGCCCAAACTTTCCATTGCTAAGCAAGGCAGTGAGCTTTGCCCCATTTTACGACCTTTCTTGCCACAGTTGTTAAGTGAATCACTGCAGTTGTTGAGTTAGTAACACGGCTGTTAAGTACATCTGGCTTCCCCATGGATTTTGTTTGTCAGAAGGTCGCAAAAGGGGATCACATGCAACCGTCATAAATGTGAGTCAGTTGCCAAGCCTCTGAATTTTGATCACGTGACCACTGATACGCTGCAATGGCTGTAAGTGTGAAAAACGGTCACAAGTCACCTTTTTCAGGACGGTTGTCATTTCGTACAGTCACTAAACGGTCTGTTGTAAGGCGAGGACTACCTGTATTTAGTTATAGAGTGGCCACATAGTATGTACGTTAATGTCCTGACTGCCATTCTACTACTGGTTTTGCAAGGGTCTGCAGACGCTTCTTAAATCTTTGTTAAACCCCAAATAAAGAATCAGGATGGAACCCCCCCCTTCAGTAGCAACACAATTGTTCCCGCTTATGGGTGAATCCCATCCTTGAAACACGCTGCAGAATTTTTTCTTCTCTGAGAAAAATAAACATGTCACATGTGGGTTACAAACCTGCAGATGGCAGTAGAGAGCTACAAGAACATCCAGCTCTTGGCTGCCATCTAAAGCTGCTGTGGCTTGTTGCAGAACTCAAATGATCTACTTACAAGCAGGTGGTGTAACCTTTTGGTGACTTGGAAAAAACTTGGCCTGAAGCTATATCAGTGCTATTATATAACACGCAGGCCAATATTTCCCAATTTTTTTTTTCCTGCAGCAGACGAATGATAAAGAGACTGGTCCTTGCAAGAAACAGGTTTAGGAAACTTAAAAACTTAGAAAACAAATTTCCTGTAACCCAAGAATGAATGAAAAGATGAATATAAAATCACAATTTTAGCTTGCTCAGATAAACCGGTTTCGAGTTTACCTCTGTTCCAGCAGTTTAATTGTAGCAGCCATTTGACTGGTCTTCTCCTCCAGGCGGCTATTCAATTCACTTTTCTGCTTCATTCCCAGGTCTGAACTCTAAAAGAAAAAAGAGAGCAACAGCTGTGCTTACTTATCCTTAAAGATTATGAGGTCACATTAAATATATGAGCAACGATCACCATGTGCAAATTATTTTGTATGCATTTATTTTGCCATGCTCTAGGCCAGTGGTGGCGAACCTATGGCATGGGTGCCAGAGGCAGCACTCAAGAGCCCTCTCTGTGGGCACGCGCGCCATCGCCCCAGTCCTAGGCCTTCAGCTGGGTTTTATAAAACCTTTTTGTTTTAGGCCTCTGCCGCTGTGTACAAAAAAAAAAAAAGGTTCAATCAGTCAATTTCAACTTCTCACGGGAAAAAAAAAGATCTTGCAAAGTTGGAATTGATTGATTGAACTTTTTAGTCCCACCCAGTCTGCCGTTACCACCGCAGCCACACCCACCTAATGGGCCACACCCACCCAGCACTCGACGATGCATAAGTGGGTTTTGGGTTGCAGTTTGGGCACTTGGTCTCTAAAAGGTTCGCCATCACTGGGATAACTTTAGAGATTAAAGAGAAAGAAGATTCAGTTTATTTTAAAACGTGGGGTAAATTTTACCAATGGTTAGGAAAACGAACTAGTGAGAAATGAATCCGATATGTTATTTTGAATACATATTAGCAAGAAGAATGATACGTATTGACCGATTGATATTGTTTATGATTATTGTTTATCATATTCACTACAGCTATTCACTATTGTATTAATTAGTGTTAACTGAGCATATGTACCCAGACAATAGTCTGTTTGCTAAAGCTTGGAAATGTTATTGGGGGCAATCCTGTCCCAACTCCAACCCCGATCCTAACCCCACCCTGAACCTTAATCCCTATCCTGGTCCTATCCATTCCCTAACCCCATAAAACTCAATAAAAACTTTTATAAAAAAAATCGTATCAACCAAGAGAAAAGGGTAAAGAGTCACAGTGTCATGGCAAAGCTTTGTAACTAAGCCATCTTATTCTCCCACGTCCAAAGCTCTATTTCTCCCAAAAGAAAGCTAAGACGACGGGCAGGTGCCTTTCAATTAACCCATTCCTATTGATTTACCTGCAGCTTGAAAGAAAGTTCAAGTTTTAGGGCCCTGAGATCATCCAGTTGTTGTCTGAGCACCACAAGCGCATCCTGCTTCTCACAAACATCCTTTTCCAGCATCTTCATGGCCAGCTCCATCTCTTGTCTCATTCCAATCTGCATTTCCAGCTCTTTTTCCACATCCTAAAGCAGGCAGACACATACAAGCGTTATAGGTGAGTGTGGATGCTCGAAAGACTTGCCCTCCCCTATAAGAAAGGGCTAAAATACAAGAAAGGGCAGGATTGAGTGAAGTGTGATTTTTTTTCCATTCCTTCAGAAGACGGAAGAAGATATTAATTCACTCTATGGAGATTCTCAATCCTCCAGATCATGGTTGTCTTAAAGTTGCTTTTCCAAAAGGCAACTGGACTTTCTTGGTGTTTTTTTCCTTGAAAACATTTCACTTCTCATCCAAGAAGCTTCTTCGGTTCATGAACGGAAGAAGCTTCTCGGTTGTGAAACGAAACGTTTTCAAGAAAATAAAACCCAAGAAAGTGCAGCAGCCTTTTGGAAAAGGACCTGTGGGACTTCACCTTTTAATAAATCGGATCATGTTTACAGGCAGTTCAGCCTTTCACAAGCAGTTCACATTTTCTCATATATATTTTCTTTGTAAAGGCATTCTGTGTGAGAAAATATTAACCCTTTTCTTTGCCATTAGAACCATTCTGCACTTTTGGGGTCTGTGTGTGTGGGTGTAGGGGCATATATATCACTTTGTTGCTTTTCTAAAAAGGCCCTGAAGACATAATTTTATCAGCACTGGAGATGGAACCAGCTGTCAGAACTTCAGAATGGGTCTTAAGTATGTTTTGGGGTGTGTGTATGTGTCCATTTTAACTTTGAACAGTCACTTTAAGCAGTAACTGATTGTAAGGTGAGAACTGTCTATATCTGTTATAACACCCTTGACTTGGCAGATAACTGGGATCTGGCCAAATTTTCCCCCATTTTCCTGTTCCCTGGGCACATACCAGCAGAGAAAGAAATCTAGGATTCTTTTTGTAATTGTTATTTTTCTAATTTTCTAATAACTGCACAAAACATTAAAACCAGAAAATGGAAACTGTATTCTTTGTGAAGTTGCTGAATTCCAAATTCCAGAATCCTTCTACACCAGACATGTCAAACACAGGCCCGGGGGTCGGATGCGGCCCGTGATGTGGTTTCATGTGGCCCGCGAAGCCATCCTGGAAACAGTGAGGGAACGGCCCCCGCTGCCTTGTCCCTGGCCCAGGCCAGCCGGGAGCCAATGTACAATTGTGTGGTGGCCATCTATGCTGAAACGCATTCAGTCTTAGCTCCACAAGGCTGTCTGGAAACAGCGAGGAACCAGACTCTGCCATGTCGGCCCCGCCCCCTGGGTGCATGCTGGGAAGGGGTCACCCTTTGTGAGGAATGAAGAAATGGACCATGCCTTGGCGCTTGCCCCGGTCCCACCCCCTTCTACCAGAGACCCTCAGATCTGTCCCACTCCTGCCCAGGCCCCCACAGGTCCCCTTGACGTGAACGATGTAGAGCTGGCCATGCCCACCCAGTAGGCTGCACCCACTCCATCCACGCCCACCCAGTAGGCCGCACCCACCCTGGCCACACCCACCTGCCCCCCCAATGGCAACCGCAATGCTGATGTGGCCCTCAATGAAATTAGAGTTTGACACCCCTGTTCTACAACTGACTATGCTGGGATGGATTTACAAGGAGTTGGAATTCTGCCCTAACTTCCCTTCACCTGCTATCCACCTTACCAGTCTTAACTGGGTTTCCTCTTTTAACTGTTTCCTCGCTTCAGTTAGGGCATGTCCGTCTGACGTGCGATCCTGCTTATTGACCTGTAATCAATGAAGACATCACTAAATCAAACAGAATGGAAAGGTTATTAACTGAGATGAACTGGACAGCATATAAATTTAATAAACAAATTAAAAACAAATAAATGACGGAGATTAGTGCTCCCAATTTACTGCAGTCAAGTGAGGATGCTCAATGCAAAACACCAAGAAGAGTGAAGATATAAGACCTTGATTTACGACCACGACTGAGCCCATATCTTCTGTTGCTAAGTGAAACATTTGTTAAATGAGTTTTACCCCATTTTACGACCTTTCTTGCTACAGTTGTCAAGTGAATCACTGCAGTCGTTAAGTAAGTAACACGACTGTTAAATAAATCTGGCTTCCCCATTGACTCTGCTTGTCAGAAGGTTACAAAAGGGGATCACCTGACCCTGTAACACTACAACTGTCATAAATATGAGTCAGTTGCCAAACCTCTGAATTTTGATCACGTGACTGTGGGGGAGGCTACAACAATTGTAAATGTGAAAAACGGTCGTAAGTCACTTTTTTCAGTGCCACTGTAACTTTGAACAGGCACTAAATCAGTGGTTCTCAACCTGTGGGTCGGTACCCCATTTGGGGTCGAACGACCATTTCACGGGGGTCGCCAAACAACGCAGTCCACCATTTTTTCCCCCTTTTCCTTGGCTGTGCTACTCCCTTTTATTCTATTGGCTTTTGAAAGCCAATAGAATAGACTCTCTTGAATAGAGTCTAATTCTATTGGCTTTCAAAAGCCAATAGGAATTGTCCAGGCTGTCTTTGCCCTGCTGAGCCCGCCAAAAGTCCCATTCTGCAAACGGTGCTGCACCGGTTGAGTAGTCCTTGACTTACGACCGGTTGAGTAGTCCTCGACTTACAACCTGTTGGGGGGGGGTCGCGGCATTAAAAAGGTTGAGAACCACTGCACTAAATGAACTGCCATAAGTTGAGAACTACCTCTGACTGAGAATAAAAAAGGTCTTATGAAATGAACCGTATTACAGAAGCATAAGAGAAAACAAGAATCAAGCAGTTCCCCAATGGCTGCATATAATAGACACACAAAACTAACCTTTCGGTTGGATTCCAAAATGTACGAACTCTCCTCTTTGACTCGCTCCATTTCTTCTTGCAGTGTGATAATTCTGTTGTTTGCAACGGCAAGCTGCGTTACACAAGAACACACATGAAAGACAAATCTACCACGCTGGGGGTTGCAAATTCACCTGCAGCTCCGTATATATTTTTCTTTCTGTCTTCTGATCGCTACTCCATCAAATGTCAGGTAAGAGACAAGTGCCCTCAGCAAAAAGTAGGTGCAAGAGTGTTTTGTTTTCTTGCAAGACAATAAAAACTTTCCAATTTGGATTCCAGCTCCGTCAGTACTTGTTAATGTCCCACACTAACAGATGAATAGGACATCAGGAAAAAAAAAAACAATTGCAACCAGCCTGCCTTCCATTGAGGGCCAGAATACTGCACAATCCAGAAAGAGGGCTGAGAAAATATCTACAGACCCCTCACATCCTGGACATAAACTGTTACAACTCCTCTCCTTAGGACACCGCTATATGGCACTGCACACCAAAACAACTAGGTGCAAAGGTAGTTTCTTCCCCCCCTTGGCATCACTCTGCTGAACACCTAATTCCCACAACACTGTCATATGCCTAACGATATCTAACCAAGCAGTAGGATTGTATTGCTATTATCCTTCTCGTTTTTCCTGTTCTCTACTCCTATTTATCACCTTGTTGTTTGTATGTACACTGAGACCTTATGCACCGGAGACAAATTCCTTGTGTGTCCAATTACACTTGGGCATAAAGAATATTCTTTGCAGAATTCCACAATAGAGTAAGTCTCTATTAGACATCTATGCTCTAGACCAGATAGAATTCCATCCCATAACATTAATTCATCTGGCATCTCTTGTACTTGAAATTATTTTGGGATACGTATGAACCAGACTGGAATATTAGCTAATTAGATGTGATCTAAATAATAATAATAATAATATTGGAAGGAACCTTGGAGGTCATCTAGTCCAACCCCCTGCTCAGGGAGGAAACCTTATACCATTTCGGACAAATGCCTGTCCAGTTTCTTCTTAAAAACTTCCAGTTTTTGAGCATTCACCGCTTCTGGAGGCAGATTGTTCTACTGGTTAATTGTTCTAACTGTCAGGAAGTTTCTCCTTAGTTCTAGGTTGCTTCTCTCCTTGCTTAGTTTCCATCCGTTGCTTCTTGTCCTGCCTTCAGATGCTTTGGAGAATAGATTGACTCCCTCTTCTTTGGGGCAGCCCCTCAGATACTGGAAGACTGCTATCATGCCCCCCTTCGTCCTTCTCTTCATTAAACTAGACATTCCCAATTCCAGCAATCGCTCCTTATATGTTTTAGCTTCCAGTCCCCTAATCATCTTTGTTGCTCTTCTCTGCACTCTTTCTAGAGTCTCAACATCTTTTTTACATTGTGGTGACCAAAACTGGATGCAGTTTTCCAAGTGTGGCCTTACCAAGGCATTGTAGAGTGATATTAATACTTCATGTGATCTTGATTCTATCCCTCTGTTAATGCAACCTAGAATGAATCCTAATGTTCCTAAAACGTGAATGTTGTTTCTTTTAATTTTATCCTATGCAGGGGAAAAAAACTCCTTACATTTCTTTCATTTCTACTTACCTCCTCAGTTAGTTTAGTGTTAGATTTTTCCAAAGCATCAACCTTTGTCTGTAAGTTGTTGACTGTAGCACTGTCCAATTAAAAAAAAAAAAAAAGACAGGTAGTAACGCTATGAAACTTAAGAAATTCAACACAAACTGACCAAATTTTCTACAGAAGATTTACCTCTTTACCTTAAATGTCTATTGAGTTCTTCTACGTAATTTTTCTGATCCAGAATTGCAGTAATTTGACCATCACTGAAAATGAGACACAGTGAATATTAACCATGCACAGAGAAAAATATTAAGCAGTACTGCAGAGCAAAGCAATATGTTTAGGAAGAAGAAGTTGTTTATATCATTGATGAAAAAGTCAGTAATTAATACAGATTAATTAGAAAAGCAGACGTCAATTTCTTTCTGACATGATAACAAAATAATGCTCATCAATTCAATTGACAGTTGTTTGAAAATTCATACTACATTAAGCAACCATTAAGATGTTTAAGGTCTACTATGGTCTGAACTGACATGTACTAAGAACCTAGAATTAAATAATAAATAAATGATTGTCTGAAAAGAATTAGAAGTCATAATGTGAAAAGGCCTGCAAATTACTGTTTATCATAAATATAGATTTGCATAACGTTTAAACTGACAAGTCAACATTCAGCCTCCAGAGCCATGCTATCTGCAAGAAAGGTCAAAAAAGTCAAGATGGTGATTATGAGAAGACATCCTACCCTTTTATATGTGATGAGTAGTATTCCTAGTTGCCATCCTGACTCTTTGACAAACTCACACTTACACACACTTAGACACCCCTGCTCCAAAAGCTGCTGTTCCACAGAGATAAACATGAATCTATAAAAGTGGGCGGTGACTTTCAGTTTATTTTTAACTTTTTTAACTTTGGAAAAACAAATAAAAAATGGGTGCTGAAATGACAAAACTGTAAAGCAGACAAGTAACTCTAAGCCAGTGGTTCTCAACCTGTGGGTCGGGACCCCATTTGGGGCTGAACGACCATTTCACGGGGGTCGCTAAACAACGAAGTCCGCCATTTTTTTCCCCTTTTCCTTAGCTGTGCTACTCCCTTTTATTCTGTTGGCTTTTGAAAGCCAATAGAATAGACTCTCTTGAATAGAGTCTAATTCTATTGGCTTTCAAAAGCCAATAGGAATTGTCCAGGCTGTCTCTGCCCTGCTGAGCCCGCCAAAAGTTCCATTCTGCAAACGGTGCTGCACCAGTTGAGTAGCCCTCGACTTACGACCAGTTGAGTAGTCCTCGACTTACGACCGGTTGGGGGTCACGGCATTAAAAAGGTTGAGAACCACTGCTCTAAGCCAAATTAGCTTTCTTCAACTCGGTTGCCTCTAGAGGTGTTCAGCAACATCACACATAAACCCCAGCCAGGCTCTTTTAGCAAGAAACAGTGTGAATTACGGATTGCTTTCACTATGGCCTCCACATCCGAAGCCTTGTGAAATGATGGAACAAAAACATATTATGAAATAGATGGTAATCAGAAAAAACAAGACTTTCTTTTGCATGGTTAAAGTGACAGGGGTCACTTTAGATTAAAATTTCATATTGAATTCACCGCTGCACCAAACGGCACCAGAGGTTTTTATAAGCCAGATAACTGCTTCTATAGGACAGAAATTCAAACCTATTGCAGCTAGTCCTTACTTAATGACCATAATTGGAACTCTGCCACTAAGGGACACGGTCATAAATTGAAAAATCACGGGACTGTACTGACTTATGAGAGCAGTTCCAATTGAGCTCATTAAAGACAATATCGCATTACCACGACGATCATAAAATGATGCAATGCTGTGATTACCCTCGTTGTGCCGCTAGTTGCTAAACACTCGTAATTGTGTGACCAGGAGGACTGCAATTTTGAGGGCCGTTTATGTCTCCTTGCTCATCATTGACATAAGCTTGAAAGACAGCTGAATTGCTAAGGGCAGACTACCTGTGGATTAACATTTTATGCCAATGGTGGCGAACCTATGGCACGCGTGCCAGAGGCGGCACTCTGAGCCCTCTCTGTGGGCACACACGCCATGCCCCGGAGATGGCAACCGTTGCTCTTCCACCAGCTGCCCACTAACTCGCCGAAGTTCCACGTGGCCGGATGCATCCCGGCATGGCTGGTTTCCCTCCCCCCCCCCGTCCCATCCCTCCTGGCCTCGCATGCTCTCCTTTTCCTAGGAATGACCCACTAGCATTGCCTCCTCAGCTGTCAGCCAGCCATCCAGCTCAGAGGCAGCTTCTCTGAATTGCTGGCAGCCGGCTGCGGATCCCCAGAGTGTGCCGGTCGAGGGGCCGGCAGGTTGTGGCTGCTGACGGACACCGTCAGCCCCCATGTGCTTGCTGGCCTCTGTGTGCGAGGGTTCATGGTGTCAGACAGCAGCCACCCTGACCCCTGCCTCGCTTTGCCCTGTGACAATGGCACCCCTGCCCTGCCTCGCCTCATCCCACAGGACGAGCCTCCAGCCCACTGCCCCACCTGCCAGACACCCCCTGGATCTCCCCCAGCCCTGCCTGGCCCCCACAGGCATCCCTCCCCACGAGCAACATCGAGGTGACCACGCCCACCTTGGCCATGCTCACCCAGTGGGCCACGCCCACCTGGTGATAAATAAGTGGATTTTGGGTTGCAGTTTGGGCACTCGATCTCTAAAAGGTTCGCCATCACTATTTTATGCCTTCAATTCAGTCTGATTCTTGGCAAGTCCCTGCAATTTTCTTGACAACAGCTTCAGAAGTGGTTTGTCAACTTTATCCTAGGCCTGAGAGGGAGGGAGTGGTCCATATTCACCCAGGTGGTCTTGTATCTAAGACAGGACTAGAACTCCAAGTGTCCTGGTTTCTAGCCCAGTGTCTTTAACCAGTACACTAAATTGGCTCATATTAGCATGTTAAAAATTGTTATGACTTCTTTTTCCCTTCACGAACATTCCACCAAGTTCAACAACTTACGACCATGATTGAGCCCCAAATTTTTGTTGTTAAGTGAACCTTGCCCCACTTTACGACCTTTGTTGACACAGCTGTAAGGTGAATCACTTTGGTTGTTAAATTAGTCATACGGTTGTTAAGTGAATCTGGCTTCCCCATTGTCTTTGCTTGTCAGAAGGTCGCAAAAGGTGATCACGTGACCCTGGGTCACTGAAACCGTCATAAATAGGAGTCGGTTGCCGAGCATCCGAACTTTGGTCACGTGACCATGGGGAGGCGGCAACAGTTGTTAAGTGTGGAAAATGGTCATCAGGGCCGTTGTAACTTTGAACCGTCTCTAAGGGAACTGTTGTAAGTTGAGGCCTACCTGTAACCCTAGACATCATTACAATAAGGTGCTATATCTGGCATTTCCCACTAGGGCAGGGATAGGCAACCTTGGCTCTTTTATGACTTGTGGACTTCAACTCCCAGAATTCCTGAGCCAGCATGGCTTAGCTTGGAAACTCTCCCTTTCCCCTCAACATGGCTGGCTCGGGAATTCTGGGAGTTGAAGTCCACGAGTCATAAAAGAGCCAAGGTTGCTTATCCCTGCACTAGGGTGACAAGAATAAGAAAGAACCAAGCAGTAAAATTGGCAAAATGCTCTTATAACAGAGCTTCAGAGAAGCTTCTAAAATACAGATTCTGGGTAGGAATCAGAGGACTTACCCTTCACTGCCCTTACTGCTACTGCCGTCCTTCAAATACATTGAAAAATCAATAACGCCAACCTACAAGAAAAGACAGCAATAATACTTCATGCCCGACACTTTCACCTTTTGTCATTTTATTCCTCTTATACTGTAACTTATCCACTGATCAACTTATCAAATGATCAAAGGCCTGGAGGCTAAAACATATGAAGAACGGCTGCGGAATTTGGGTTTGGCTAGTCTAAAGAAAAGAAGAAATAGGGGAGACATGATAGCAGTGTTCCAGTATCTGAGGGGCTGCCACGAGGAAGAGGGTGTCAGGTTGTTCACCAGAACACCAGAGGAAAGGACGAGAAACAATGGATGGAAACTAATCAAGGAGAGAAGCAAGCTGGAATTAAGGAGAAACTTCCTGACAGTGAGGATAATCAACCAGTGGAACAGCTTGCCACCAGAAATCGTGGGCACCCCATCACTGGAGATCTGTAAGAAGAGACTAGACATTCACCTGTCTGACACGGTATAGGTTCTCCTGCTTAAGCAAGGGGCTGGACTAGAAGACCTCCAAGGTCCCTTCCAGCTCTGTTCTATTCTATTCACCTGTGTGATTCATCTAGGCATCTTCAGCAATCATGGCACAATCATGGCTCGCAAGATTGATGTCAGCCCCATTAAGCAGGCCAGGCCAAGAAATCAATGCCATAAAAAAGGCTAAATTTGTTTTTTTATTCAGATATAATCACAAAACGGTCTAACTTCTCCTTATAGTTCACCGAATTAGGGAGGTGTCTGCCTCAGCTGCTTCTGTTCTGGACTTAAAATATGTTTCTCCCCAGTCACCCTCGCCAAGGTTATCTTCCCTGTAGTAGAGCAGTATTTCTCAATCTCAACACCTTGGACTTCATTTCCCAGAATTCTCTGCCCACTTAGTACTAAATCACATCTGATTTGGCACGCTGTTAGGATATTGAATTTAGTAGATGGAACTTTAGTAAAGTGCGCAATAGGCCAGAACACACCGTTGTAGTTGATTGGTTGGAGTGCTGACTCATTTATAAGGCAATCTACGCTATGATTGATTGCCGTTAAGCATAAAGGGGGCGTTTCCCTTTTTTCCCGCCTTTTTCTCTTCAGTGTGTTCTGTACACTGTTTAATTTACCTCATGATTGTTCCAAAGGTGCTTTTTTCAGGAGGCAACTGAACTTTCTTGTTTTTCTTTCTTCTCATCCAAGAAGCTTCTTCAGCCCTGACTGGATGGTGGAGAATGGCAGGATTTATATTCCTTGCAGACAGCTGGTCATTTGCATTCTTTTAGAGAATTGTTGAGGTGACCTTGAGGACACAGGTAAATCTCCAAATGGCCTCAACAACTCTCTAAAAGAATGCAAATGACCAGCAGTCTGCAAGGAATATAAAACCTTCGATTCCCCACCATCCAGTCAGGGCTGAAGAAACTTCTTGGATGAGAAGCGAAATGCCTTCAAAGAAAAACAAGAAAGTCCAGTTGCCTCCTGAAAAAGTATCTTGGGACAGCCATTACCTCGATGACTGAGAATCTCCTCAGACATTTACCGCATGATGTTCCTGTGTTCTTGACTATCTTGTATTTTCTGTTTCTGGATGATGACAAAACTACAAGTTTTTGTTAGTGTCTCTGACTTTATCTGGACAGCTGCACAATTCCCTGACACAGGCTCAGAATTCAATAGCCCAAATGCAAGAAAGCTAATTGTTATCTACAAGCCATAGTAACTCAGGAGGACGCAGTAGGTCACCCCCGATTATATGTAAATTAAAGATCCGGCACCTGAGAATCCAAGTCTTCTCCTTTCATGCAAAAATTTGCATCAATGACATTGAGGCCCACTAAAAGTCCAGCGATTATAGCACCTTCTTCCTCCATCATGAGGGCATTTGGTTCGTAAAATTCACTGCAAAACACATTGAAATATAAATTGTTACATCATCATCATCATTGATCATCGCACAGTTAGCCAGATGTTCAGACTGGATTTGGCATTTTTATTTATTTTATTATTATTATTAGGCATACACGGTCTACGTAACTAGAAGTAAAACTTCTATGGGAGTATGGCAGTGGCCTCGTAACTGACTGTCCAATTCAGTCTCTGGCGTTGCTTCATGCAGCTCTTCTAGGCAACCAGAGAGCACACGTCATGGGGAATCTTGCACAATATGCTTAACAGTTTGCGTATCAGCACCTCAATCGCAACAAGAGGACTCTTTCCATCCCCACAGGCACTTCTTCCAGTACCACAACTAATTCTGTTCAATTTCAAACAGACAAAGCAAACCAGGTGGTTTGGTAGAGGGATCACTAATGGTTAGGCCACAAGTCAAGAAGGTACCTTGGACCATTCGTCTCTCCAGGCATCGTCGGGGTTAAACTGAGTAGTTGTTAAGTAAATAGCTGCTTACATAATGGCAAGTTCTTTTACATACACACTCTTTACATGTATAGCTGAGTTGGCTATGAAGATTCATATCCAGCTTACCTGTCCTCAACCTTCTGAGGACATGAGAAGTTTACACAGAGCAAAGCAACCTGGTGCTCACACACCCTCTGAGTTCTACGTTACCTAAGTTCATTTTATTATTATTAAATAAGCTCACCCATCACTTCATTTTAGAATGGAATCTCTATGGTGGGACCCCTACATCTATCATTTTTCAATCATTCACCTGGAGCCACAAGGCATGCAATCAACGTAGGGCAACGGGCAGCAGGGGGTCTTCACCTCTAAGTGAGCACGGCCCCCATTTTCCAGCCATTCTGAGCAGCAGGATCTGAAGAAGAGTTTTAGCTGCATTCTTTTACCTTAGCCATGTTTTACGAGAACTATATTATGCAAGCTAGAATTCCTATTCTGTTGTCCAAGGTTAGAATATTTAAACCTGGCAATTGGAATGACAGAGGAGTCAGGGCCCTCACCATTCAGAGGAACCAAACGGAACTCCAAAGATCCATCAGAGAAACACAGATACATGTTTTACTATTATATCAAAGTAAACAAAAGGCATGTGCACAGCAATCATTGCAGTTTATTTTGTGGTATCTCACAGGTTGGAGAACAAGGATCTAAGTCAGTGGTTCTCAACCTATGGGTCGGGACCCCATTTGGGTCGAACGACCATTTCACGGGGGTTGCCAAACAAGGCTGTCTGCCATTTTTTCCCCCTTTTCTTTGGCCACGCCCCTGGCACCCGGTGATGTATAAGTGGTTGGGGGTCACCACAACATGGGGAACTGTATTATGGGGTCGCGGCATTAGAAAGGTTGAGAACCACTGATCTAAGTGCACAATGGGTTGGGAAACTGCCAGCTAGGCTGGAAGGAGGAGTCAAATGAGGGCCAAGCTTGGAATCATTGCACAATTGCAAGCAGCATAAGCTTGACTCCCCCAAGATCCATGAAACCTTATCTGGTTGCTCCCAGGGGAAGGTAAGCAGTCTGGGAAGATTCTTGTAACGTAAGTGGTAAACAATAAAGTTACTGACTTTGGCTACCATATTTTCCGGCGTATAAGATGACTTTCTAAAGCGTGGAAATCAGTGCCGAAGTCAAGGGTCGTCTTATACGCCGAGTCATTTTATACGCCGGAAATTATGGTAGTTTCCGGCGTATAAGACGACTTTCTAGGCACGGAAATCGGCGCCGAAGTCGGGGGTCGTCTTATACACCGGGTCGCCTTATACACTGGAAAATATGGTACTTATGAGAGGCTACAATTGCTTGCTCCTGACAGGATGTATTCAAACAAGTCCCCAAAAGGGAAATTTTTACATTTCCTCCTCTTAAAAATTTTAGAACGGTGAAAATAACAGTATGTAGTATGGAAAGATTGTTTAAAGAGAGCCACTGATTTATGTCATGGATGCCAGTTTACAGGGATTTTCATTCAAGGATGAACCAAGTTCTTACCTGAGAATTTCCCTTCTGTTTATCAAGGCTTTCATGTACTCTGAAAGTTTCTTCTGCATTAATGCCAGACGCAGCCAGGCTCTGCCCCTTCCCACGGGAGTCCTACCAAGTCCCAAAGACAAATGATAAATGTTGTTACACATAAGGTGGCATGTCATCTAAGGGGCAAATTCTGCACACAAACTCAGCAATAAAAGCGGGCGACTATTTTTTCCCCTCCAATTAGAAAAAAAGTAAATAAAAGATGGGCGCGGTGGCTGAGAAGAGGGAAGCAATGTCCTAATGCACAGGGTGAAAAACAGACTTGAGTGTGAGTTTTATTTGAAGTATTTTTCCAATCATACTCTTAGAAGTGTTACAACTTGCTTAAGAATCAGTTAGCCGGGGCTGTGTGGTGAAGACGTTAGGCTTGTTGACTGGGAGGTCAACAATGAATGAATAGAGTTACTGCTTGACAGTATTTCTAAGAAAAACCTGACAGGCATCTTGTTGAAAGAATAGAAGAAGACAACACTTACTTTAGCCCAGGCAAATCTTTAACGCTTGCTGTGATTTCTCCAGCTTCAGGAACAAACTTCTCCACCAATTCCAGAGGTCCCCAAAATGACTTATTTTGGCCCAGAAAAGTTTTCTTGGCTAAACAGAAACATTTTTTGTTTCTAATATATCTGAATTGGCATTTCAAGTCATTTGGAATAGTGGCATTGTATTAGAAATTCAAACACTATGTTTTATAATGATGATGATGATGATAATAATAATAATAGTAGTAGTAGTAGTAGTAATAAAAGTTGGAAGGGACCTTGGAGGCCATCTAGTCCAACCTCCTGCTCAGGCAGGAAACCCTGGCCTATACCATTTCAGACAAATGGCTGTCCAGTCTCTTTTTAAAAACTTCCAGTGTTGGAGCATTCACCACTTCTGGAGGCAGGTTGTTCCACTGGTTAATTGTTCTCACTGTCAGGAAGTTTCTCCTTAGTTCTAGGTTGCTTCTCTCCTTGATCAGTTTCCATCCACTGCTTCTTGTCCTGCCTTCAGGCGCTTTGGAGAATAGCTTGACTCCCTCTTCTTTGTGGCAGCCCCTGAGATATTGGAATACTGCTATCATGTCCCCCCTCGTCCTTCTCTTCGTTAAACTAGACATACCCAATTCCAGAAACCATTCCTTATATGTTTTAGCCTCCAGTCCCCTGATCATCTTTGTTGCTCTTCTCTGTACTCCTTCTAGAGTCTCAACATCTTTTTTACATTGTGGTGACCAAAAGTGGATGCAGTATTCCAAGTGTGGCCTTACCAAGGCATTGTAAAGTGGTATTAACACTTCACGTGATCTTGATTCTGTCCCTCTGTTAATGCAGCCTAGCACTGTGTTGGCCTTTTTTGGCAGCTGCAACACACGCCTGGCTCATATTTAAGGGACTGTCCACTAGGACTTTTAAAAGCTCTCAATACTGTATCTTAATCCAGCCTTCCCCAATCATATCTCCCAAATATTTGTATAATGATCAATTGCAGTTATGGCTTTAGTTCCAGTGGAAAGGCTTGCCTTCAGAACTTGTGGGTGCTCCATCACTGGAGGTTTTTAAGAAGAGATTGAACAGTTATTTGTCTGAAATGGTATGGAGTCTCCTGCTTGAGCAGGGGGCTGGACTAGTTATTTGTTTGTTTGTTTATTAAACTTATCTCACCTAGAGGAGATTCTAGGCAGTTCGTAATTATAAAAACCTCAAGCTGAAACATGAAAACAATACATATTAACACTAACATTGATTTAAAATATTGGTTCTTCCCCATTCATTTCATAATGTTCCCGTCTTGTTCCATTCAAAAGTATACATTAAATGTTTTAGTAGATTCCATAAGTCAATAAATTGATTTTGTAGGCTTATGATTCTTATTCTACTGGGGTAGACCACCAAATCAGGTCCTGAATGTTGGATATGAAGATGTATTGAGGGAAACCTGGAAATAAGGTCTACTATATGTGTGGAAAACTGCTCACTACCAAAAAATGAAAAAATGTACACTTCATGGACTTTACTGATTAAAAGGCATGCTCTAAAGTGGACTATCCCTTTAAACCAGGAGTCGGAGTCTCCAAGCTTGGCAACTTTCAGACTTGTGGATTTCAACTCCCAGAATTCTTGCATATCTGGCTGAGGAATTCTGGAAGTTGACGTCCACAAGTCTTAAAGTTGAGCATGGCTGGCTGAGGAATTCTGGGAGTTGAAGTCCACAAGTCTTAAAGTTGAGCATGGCTGGCTGAGGAATTCTGGGAGTTGAAGTCCACAAGTCTTAAACTTGACAAGTTTGGAGACCCCTGGTTTAAACAATACCTTTACTTAAGAAAACTACTTAGGAAAGAAAACATACTGCCCTATCTACTAGTTTATTCCAGTTTGAGAATTTGGATATAATCCCCAGAGGAGATCTTCTGTCAATTTATACCCACCTTTTAAGCCATGTTTAAGGCAGTGCTCCATAACTACAAAGAACTGCTGGAGAGGTGCATAGTCAGAGTCTAAGGTTCTCCCAAGATTCAGAGCGGATTCAATCAAGCCCTTTATGCTTAGTTTCGCCATATTCATCAGATTCATGCGTTCATTGGCCATGACATAGTTGGGATCTGTAACAGAAAATGTACAAGATTCAATAAGAAGCAGGATCGTAATTTCATTAAGTGAAAAAACTTAAGAAAACACAGAGAGCAGGTGAGGCCAGATCATTGTAGAAATACTCCATCTAATGTGATCGCCAACCGTTGAGACTTACTTGATGGAACATCAATATAAATAACATTGCATATTGTATTGTATTATATAATTAAAAATGACAACTGTCATATCCACCAAGAAATAGTTCAAGAATGGTTAAAGTTAAAAATGGTGCTTGCAGAAAACAGGCAAAATTTTAAGGCAGACTTCCCAAAAGGCTGAACTGAACTAACTCCCCCAAATTTCCACCCTGGTGGTAGAAGACAATTATATATACAGCTGGTCCTCAACTTACGATCACAATGGAGCCCAAAATTTCCGTTGCTAAGCTAAGCAGTTGTTAAATGACTCACATCCTACTTTACGACCTTTTTGCCATGGTTCTTAAGCGAATCACTGCAGTTGTTAAATTAACCACATGGTCATTGCTTTGTAAATGACAATCCCAGGATCTGGGACCCTGCAACCACTGTAAATAAAAAACTTGCTAGCTGTGGAATTCTGGGAGTTGAAGTCCACACATCTTAATTCTGAGAGTTGAGATCCGCACATTTTAAAATTACCAAGTTTGAGAAAAACTGCTGTGGGAAGTCAGTTCCCCAGAGAAGGAAATATTAAAAGGGCAGGAAAACATATTTCCTCAAAGGATCTTAAAGAGGCAGAAAAGCATGCCCAGTTTTTCTTAATAGCCCCAAGTCTCCCTTCTCCAAGCAGAAACCAGCTCTATAGAAATGCAGATGTAAATCATCAGGAAGGTTGAAGCTAGAAGATTAAGAAGACAAAGACACCTAAAATCTACATACCCCAAAGTCGAAGACAGGACATAATAGAATTAACTCACAGATGCCAAAGGGACATAGGTCAAAATACATGACACAGGAAATACAAAGCCTCAAAACAGGAACAGGAAATAACTCCAAACAAAAGGCTCCAGAGGATATAAAAACCCACTCCCTACATGTGCTCAGCCCTTTTTTCCCCCTTCTTTCTTCCAGAGCCATCTTTCTGTCTGGCTCTCCTCGTCAATAAACTGCAACCTTCTTTCTAAAGCAGTCGCCATGTTTATTCCCAGCTTGGATTGAACCACAATGAAGACTTTTCTTTCAAGACAAATGTTACATGCATACTTACACATGGTCTGAAGCATCTTTTGGCTTTTCAACCTATACCGCTGCACAACCCCACTAAGTATTATTATTAAGTCTCCCTGGCAAACTTAATTTGCAAACCTATTTACAATGTGTGTTGCGTTCAAGACAAGGGCTGAGATTGAATAGTTCCATAATGGAAACGGCGAACCAAGAACAGCATAATTAATCTAATATATGCAAACGAGTGTGATTGTCTAAGGATTTAGCTAATGCAATAGAAGATTCTTCTGCCTCTAAGAATGATTATTTGCATTGCAAATCATGCATGAATCAAGAGTACATTTAATCAAGCTGCATAACACTTCTTTTACACTTGGAGCAAGTTCTGCTGGCAGAATCTCTATAGGCGAGGCAACCTTAATTGGGTGGGCATGGCTGGCTGGAGAATTCTGGGAGTTGAAGTCCACAAGTCTTAAAGTTGCCAAGGTTGGATAACCCTATCGTAGACTAAACGCTTTGTCAATTTACATGCCTACCTACCCATTTGTTTTATAGTCGTGACCCTTGTGAATAAACTTTGTTCCTGTGGTTAGCAGAAGGAACAAAATCACTGAGCACTGCACACTTAAAAAAAAAGTCTTAAAACCGACTTGCATGACAAAACAGAAAGTCCCAAAGCTTGAGTTTAAAGACTTTGATAGACAAATCAATAAAGTAAATATTTCCTCACTAAACAGAATTCTTTCCTCCCATGAAGACTGGTATGGAGACAAGTACGGGAACTGGAATTGTGTTTGTTTCCAAAGGAATACAGATAATTTTTTACTAAACCCAATTTCCAAGCCACCAGCCTATGGATAGCGTCTTTTAAGACCATCCCTCGATTTAGAAAATGTAACTCTTTTTGTGCTTTCACACTTAAAATGGACTTCATGCTGACGGTACTTATAAAAAAATTGCAAGATGCAAATAACCTTTGCTTTTCTAGTTACCGGTTGTTCTCAACATATGACACATGAGCCTTGCTATACAATCATAAATCTTGCGGGTCATTAAGCAGATCATCACAATTGACTCAATTCTATGGTATTTTTTGCAGTGATTGTTAAGCGAATAGTAGTAACTGCGAGAGGGATTTTGAAGTCCTAGTGGACAATCACTTAAATATGAGCCAGCAGTGTGCTGCAGCTGCCAAAAAAGCCAACACAGTGCTAGGCTGCATTAACAGAGGGATAGAATCAAGATCATGTGAAGTATTAATACCACTTTACAAGGCCTTGGTAAGGCCACACTTGGAATACTGCATCCAGTTTTGGTCACCACGATGTAGAAAAGATGTTGAGACTCTGAAAAGAGTACAGAGAAGAGCAACAAAGATGATTAGGGGACTGGAGGCTAAAGCATATAAGGAATGGTTGTTGGAATTGGGTATGTCTAGTTTAACGAAGAGAAGGACGAGGGGGAACATGATAGCAGTCTTTCAATATCTCAAGGGCTTCCATAAAGAAGAGGGAGTCAAGCTATTTTCCAAAGCGCCTGAAGGCAGGACAAGAAGCAAGGGATGGAAACTAATCAAGGAGAGAAGCAACCTAGAACTAAGGAGAAACTTCCTGACAGTTAGAACAATTAACCAGTGGAACAACCTGCCTCCAGAAGCTGTGAATGCTCCAACACTGTAAATTTTTAAGAAGAGACTAGACAGCCATTTGTCTGAAATGGCATAGGGTTTCCTGCCTGAGCAGTGGGTTGGACTAGATGACCTCCAAGGTCCCTTCCAACATTATTGTTGTTGTTGTTGTTGTTTGAATTTCACCCACAAAATTATTTCTCAGAATATGTTAGGGTGCAGCTTTCCTTAATGTCCAGGAATTGTGAATTTTTTTCATTTACAGGTAGAACAATTAATCAGTGGAACAACCTGCCTCTAGAAGTTGTGAATGCTCCAATTTGGAAGTTTTTAAGAAGAGACTGGACAGCCATTTCTCTGAAATGATATAGGGTTTCCTGCCTGAGCAGGAGGTTGGACTAGACCAGGGGTCCCCAACCCCGTCTGTGGACCAGTACTGGGCCGCAGCATGCCAGCAATTGGTCCACACAAACAAGGAAAGCCCCATTCACAGCATGCAGGCAGCACACAAAACCATGCCCCCTCTGGTCCATGGAAAAATGTCTTTCCACGTAACCAGTCCCTGGTGTCCAAAGGGTTGGAGACCTCTGGACTAGAAGACCTCCAAGGTCCCTTCCAACTCTTGTTATTCTGTTAATCTGCCATTGTTAAGCAAACCTATTATTTGCAATGGGTGTTTTTTTGCTGAATGTAAATGCCAGTTGCAAATTGCAGTCATGTAACAACGGGACGCTGCGAATGGATATAAGTGCCTGTTCTCTTTTGGAATAATTAAAATAGCCCATCTCCTTTTCCAGATTCACACAGCTGCTTTTGAAGTTGTTCCTGGCTGCCTTCAGACACCTGTGAAAACACAGCCATCTCACACATGTGAAAATAGTGGGGCGGGGCTTTTGAAGATGGCTGAACAAGCCTGAGAAACGATACCATTGCTTTAACCACTTCTAACCATTCTTGTCAACAGAAGAGAATATTTGTAGCTCAGCGTTGAACTGTGGGTTCCTTGGTACTCTCTGGGCTGGGTAGTTTTCTTGCAGACATTTCATGACCCAACTAGGTAACATCATCAGTGTCAGAAGGGAGTGGATTTTATGGAGAGGAGGAGGAGGAGGAGGAATGTGGGGTTCTTGGTGCTCTCTGAGCTGAGTAGTTTTCTTACAGACATTTCATGACCCAGCTAGGTAACATCATCAGTGTTAGAAGGAAGTGGGTTTTATGGAGAAGAGGAGGAGGAGGAGGAGGAGGAGGAGGAGGAGGAGGAGGAAGAAGAAGAAGAAGAAGAAGAAGAAGAAGAAGAAGAAGAAGAAGAAGAAGAAGAAGAAGAAGAAGAAGAAGAAGAAGAAGAAGAAGAAGAAGAAGAAGAAGAAGAAGAAGAAGAATGTGGGGTCCTTAGTGCTCTCTGGGCTTGGTGGTTTTCTTGCAGACATTTCATGACCCAGCTAGGTAACATCATCAGTGTTAGAAGGGAGTGGGTTTTATGGAGAGGAGGAGGAGGAGGAGGAAAAGAGGAAAAGTGCTTTATTCTTGCTCCCATATCTTCCAAAGAATTCCAAATCCACCACTTCCCCTTAAATTGAGACTAAAACAAGGCATATTTTGACAAATGCACAGTCCCAACCCCAAATTTGTAAGAACTGATTAGTAACGGATGAGATGCTGAAGTAAAATCATGGTAATTTTTCATAATTTCGTCAGCCCAAAGAGACAATCTGTTTTTCTCATCACCACAATTAAATTAGATCATGATAGATCAAGCTTTACTATTTCTGAGATAACGAAAATCTTTTGAAGCCAGACATTTCTGATGTAAATGCGGGAGACAAATGTGGGAGACAAAAGCCACTCAATTACATTATTAAATATAAATCCACAAAGCCGAACGCTTACAGTTTTCTGTCATAATATCAAGATTCTTATCCATTTCTGCTTCCTTGCCTAGAAGCGCGGCACAAAAATTCCCCAACCACGACCAGATGCTGTTTCATTTGTTTACATCCTTTTCACACTGAATTGTGGCATATCACACACAGGCTGCATTTACATCACACACACAAACACAAATCAGCCAATCACATTTGAACCTGCTGTTTTGGCAGGAGTTAGCTAATATATAATTACTTTATTATTCCAACCATTTGTGAAACCTAACTGTGATCTTGCTAACCATTGGTACGCATACAGGGTGAGTAAAACCGCAAGTTACAAATAGAATAACAGAATAACAGGGGACCCTATACCATTTCAGATAAATAGTTGTCCAATCAGTTATCTCAAAATGTTTGCCTTTGTCCTATCCTTTTGGCACGTTACTTCAACATATTTGGTATATGAAGAAAAGACTAGACAATCACCTGTCCGAAATGGTATAGGTCCTCCTGCTTGAGCAGGGGGCTGGACTAGAAGATCTCCAAGGTCCCTTCCAATTCTATTCTATTCTATTCTATTCTACTCTATTCTGTTCTATTCTATTCTACCCTATTCCTATTCTATTCTATTCTATTCTACTCTACTCTACTCCTATTCTATTCTATTCATTCTTTCCTCCTATTCTATTCTATTCTACTCTACTCCTATTCTATTCTATTCATTCTTTCCTCCTATTCTATTCTATTCTATTCTACTCCTATTCTATTCTATTCTATTCTACTCTACTCCTATTCTATTCTATTCATTCTTTCCTCCTATTCTATTCTATTCTATTCTATTCTATTCTATTCTATTCTATTCTATTCTATTCTATTCTATTCTATTCTAATTCTTTCCTATTCTCTATTCTATTCTATTTATTGTGAATATTCAGGATTGCTATAAAAGGAGAATGGGTGGTAGGCAAAAAAAAGCTACATTTAAGAAATGCACAGGAAGTTATATTAGACATTCAGAGAAATGATAGCCTTTATAAGTGAACGAGGAAAAAAAACCTGTGGGTTACGTGCTGTTCCTAGGCTGCATTAATGGATAAAATCAAGATCACGCGAAGTCTTAATATCACTTTACAACGCCTTGGTAAGGCAACACATGGAATGCTGCATCCAGTTTTGGTCACCACAATGTAAAAAAGATGTTGAGACTCTAGAAAGAGTGGGGAGAAGAGCAGCAAAGATGATTAGGGGGCTGGAAGCTAAAACACGCGAAGAACAATTGCAGGAATTGGATATGTCTAGTTTAATGAAAAGAAGGACCAGGGGTGACATGACCTCGTTTGCCTTCAATCTTTCCCTGGAGGATTAAATGGGAAAGATTGAAGGCAAACGAGGTCTAGGCAGAAGAAGAACATCGTGGCTTCAAAATCTAAGGGACTGGTTTGGACAAAATTCAGCAGTACTTTTTCGTGCGGCTGCTGATGCCAACATGATCGCCAATGTCCAATAACGGATATGGCACAAGAAGAAGAAGAAGAAGGGGTGACATGATAGCAGTCTTCCAATATTTGAGGGGCTGCCACAAATAAGAGGGGGGGGGGGAGGAGAGGTGTCAAACTATTCTCCAAAGCTGCTGAAGGCAGGACAAGAAGAAACAGATGGAAACTAATCAGGGAGAGAACAAACCTAAAACTAAAGAGAAATTACCTGACACTTAGAACAATCAGTGCAGCGCCTTGCCTACAGAAATTGTGGGTACTCCAACATTGGAGGTTTTAAAGAAGAGATTGGACAACCATTTGTCTGAAATGGTATAGGGCAGGGGTAGGCAACCTTGGCTCTTTTATGATTGATGGACTTCAACTCCCAGAATTCCTGAGCCAGCCATGCAGAGGGGAAAGGGAGAGGTTTCCATGCTGAGCTATATTGGCTCAGGAATTCTGGGAGTTGAAGTCCACAAGTCATAAAAAAGCCAAGGTTGCCTACCCCTGGTATAGGGTTCTCTGCCTGAGCAGGAGGCTGGACTAGAAGACCTCCAAGGTCCCTTCCAATTCTGTTATTCTGTTAATCTGCTGCAAAAAATGAACAGAAGAAACTAAGCAAACAAATGCATGGGTGTGGCACCAAACATTTGTCAAAGATTTTTAAAACCTTTTGTATAACAAAAGAGGAAACAGTCAAGAATGAAGGGTATAAATAAGATAAGATAACCTTTATTGTCATTTTTTACTGTGAGCACACTGGCCCATATTAAAAATGAAATTCTGTTGCCTGCTCTCAAAAGAAAGTATATATCTCTCCATACACAGACATAACACACATATACACATGCTATATACATATATATATACCTAGACCAGGGGTAGGCAACCTTGGCTCTTTCATGACTTGTGGACTTCAACTCCCAGAATTCCTGAACCAGCCATGCTGAGGGGAAAGGGAGAGTTTCCAAGCTGAGCCATGCTGGCTCAGGAATTCTGGGAGTTGAAGTCCACGAGTCCTAAAAGAGCCAAGGTTGCCTACCCTGGACCTAGACTCATACATACATAGATACATAGATACACACACACACACACACACACACACACACACACACACACACACAAATATGAATCACTCTCCATTTTGAATACATAGCAGAAAGAGGAAGTCTGAGGGTTACCAAGGTTGATGCTATATGGAACAAAACTGTGACTGAATCTGGATGTTCTGCTTTGGATAAAACGAAGCCTCTTCCCAAAAGGTAGCAAGGAAAACAGGTTGTGAGGAGAATGTGTAGTATCCCAGACAATCCTGCGGACCCATCGAAGGGAGTGAACTGCCGATAATCTTTTCTGCCGTCCTCACAACTCTCTGTACCGCCTTCCTGTCTGAAGCAGTAAGGCAGCGAAAGGTTTACAATATATGCCATTTAATGAATCCTTGAACCTGGAAAAAATGTACTGTTGACATCTCTTTTCAGAAAACATTCCAGGATTCCTCTTTGCCGGTTTTTTTTTTGAGGAGTTAAAAATTTTATTTGATCCAGTCCAGAAATGGTCAGATTGAAAAAGCTCTTCTATTATCTGCTGCCAGGTGCATGGGCTGTATCGATTATTAATATATTTAACGCTATTTTAAGGATTTTGTTCAAGGACTTAATCGACTTTCATTTTGAAAAACAGGTTACAGGTAGTCCTCAACTTATGACCACAACTGGCGTCAGAATTTCCGTTCTTAATCAAGGTGGTTGTTTAGTGAGACAAGCCCAATTTTATGACCCTGTTTTGTCACAACGGTTAAACAAATCACTGGAGTTGTTCAGTGAATCTGGCTTCCCAATTGACTTTGCTTGCTGTGAAGCCTGCTGGGAAGGTTGCAAACGGTGATCACATGATCCCGGAACAGTGCAATTGTCATAAATACATGAACAGTCACTAAGTGGATGGTTGTAAGTCAAGAACTACGTATGTATGTGGAATGGAATGGAGTCGAGTGGAATAGAGAATAAGAGTAGAGTGGAGTGGAGTGGAATGGAATGGAAAATATGGAATGGAATAGAATGGAACGGAACAGAAAGGAATAGAAAATATGGAATGGAATGAAGTGGAGTGGAATGGAATGGAACAGAACGGAACAGAATAGAATTGAATAGAAAATATGGAATGGAGTAGAGTGGAGTGGAGTGGAGTGGAGTGGAGTGGAGTGGAGTGGAGTGGAATGGAATAGAATAGAATAGAATAGAATAGAATAATAACTTTATTGTCACTTTGAATGTACACTAATTGGCATACATTAAAATGAAATTTCGTTGTCTACAGAAGTATACAGCAAGATATTAAGAGAGAGTTCAGCTTCTGGAGTTCTGGTATCTAGGTAGACTTCGACTTAACAACCATTCATTTTGTGACCGTTCAAAGTTACAACAGCACTGAGAAAAGTGACCTATGACCATTTTTCACACTTACGACCGTTGCACGGTCACATGATCAAAATTTGGATGCTTGGCAATTGACTCATACGTCTGACGGTTGCAGTGTCCCGGGGTCATGTGACCACTTTTGTGACCTTCTGGCAACTAAAGTCCACGGGGAAGCCAGATTCACTTAACAACCGTCTTACTAACTTAACAACTGCAGTTGTCAAGATGCTCTTAATTTCAGTTAAATTCACTTAAGAACGGTGGTGAGAAAGGCCGCAAAATGGGGCAAAACTGACATATATAAACTGTCTCACTTATCAAAGGGAATCTTGGGCTCAACTGTGGTCAGAAGTCAAGGACTACCTGCATATATGAGCCTTGAGAGGAGACTCGTTTCCAGGGTCAACCTATAGAATGAACTTTATGTCTATTTATTTATTATTAAATTTATTTGTAATGAAGATGGTGCTTCTTTGGATGGTGACCAACAGTAGCCCCCAACTATAAAGTAAATAAATGGAGGTATGGGTGCATATTAAGAGTGCAATGGAAAACGACAACATTAAGAGAAAATGCGTATTTTAACCGAGAAAAACGCAGAACAAGGTGGGGCACAGATGTGCATGGACCCTCCAGCGACAATCCCGGAAAGCAGTGGGTGACCCAGCTCAAAAGACAATAAAAGCCATGGCAAATGGGATGTAGAGACTAGCAAGAAGATGTTGGTGTGACACGCACCTTCTGCATCATCGCGCAATTGCTCCACCAAATCTGTCAAATCCTCCCAAGAGTCTTTGCAAACAGCAAAAAAAGGAAAAGAAAGAAAAATGTCATGGAAGCCATGATACAAAGAAAAGACTGGGGGGGTGGGGTGGGGGGGTGGGGAGAAAAAACAACAGAAAGGGAGGTTGTTATACAGGAAACACACTGAAATCAGCTTAAGGTTTAAAGTTTTAAAAGTACTTTTAATTACGACACCGCACAGTAACACAGAGCATTCAAGCGACAAGAAAGAATGGGTTGTGTTTTTTTTTTAACTAAGTCAAAAAAGGATACTAAGATTATTAAGTTTTAAATTATTTTTAAGAAGGGGATTCAAGTGAATTTGTAACCCGCCTTTTTATGGAGCAGGATGTTTTAAGAAGTTATATACCAGCTTCCAACTTTTTTAGAATTATTGGAGAGCTTAATAGAAAAGTATTCTGGTGTTTTGCACCATACAATAATTATCTCTATGTTAAACATCATCATCATCATCATCATAATGATGGTGATGATGATCATGATCATGATGATGTTGGAAGGGACCTTGGAGGTCATCAAGTCCAACCCCCTGCTCAGGCAGGTAACCCTATACCATTTCGGACAAATGGCTGTCCAGTCTCTTCTTAAAAACTTCCAGTGTTGGAGCATTCACCGCTTCTGGAGGCAGGTTGTTCCACTGGTTAATTTTTCTAACTCTCAGGAAGTTTCTCCTTAGTATTAAGTACTTTTCTTTTGTGCATAAATTACACCAAAGATATGGACAGTACCATGCTCAGTACTGGTAGTCCTTGACTTCTGTCCATTCGTTTAGGGACTATTCAAAGTTGTGACTACACTAAAAAAAAAGTGTCTTACAACCAGTGGTGGGATTCAGCCAGTTCGCACTACTTCGGCAGAACCGGTAGCTAATTTTTTGTCGCCCAGGCCCAGAATGGACTTCTGGAAGTGGCATCCGCGCAGAGAACCGGTTCTTCACATATTTGAATCCCATCACTGCTTACAACTAATCCCACACTTAACAACCATTGCAACATCCCTGTGATCATCTGATTATGATACCTGCAACCAGCAAGAATTTATGATAGTTGCAGTATCCCAGAATTACACAATTGCTACCTGCTGGCTTCCGATAAGCAAAGTCAATGGGGAAGACGACAGGAAGTTGCAAGTCATGGTCACGTGATGTCTCGCTTAATGACCAGGGGGGAAGCTGTAAAACTGGGACAGTCATTTGTTGCCTCTCTTAAAGACCGCACCATTTTAAACTACAGGCAGTCCTTGACATACGACCACTACTGAGCCCAAAATTTATCTTGCTAAACCAGACATTTGTTAATGGGTTTTTCCTCATTTTACAACCTTTCCTGCCACTGTTCTTAAGTCACTGCAGTTGTTAAGTTAGTAAGATGGTTGTTGAGTGAATCTGGCTTCCCCATTGACTTTGCTTGTCAGAATTTCACAAAAGGTTGATCACATGACACCGGACGCTGCAACCGTCAATTCCCAAGCCTCTGCATTTTGATCATGGGGATGCTGCAATGGTGATAAGTGTGAAAAACGGCCATAAGTCACTTTTTTTCAATACCATTGTAACTTCCAACGGTCACTAAATGAGCTGTTGTAAGTCGAGGACTACCTGGTCCCAACTGTTGCCGTCAAATTAACGGTACAGCACCATGGAATGAGTATGACCCACCTATGACTCCCTTGTACTAGATTTGTTCCATCAAAATGAAAGTGCCAAAGAGACAGGAATGTATAAATTACCCATAATTCACCAACTTGGTGAATAAGAACCATTGATACATTCAACTTACTGATATAATATTTTTTTTTTCTTTCTGGGATCCTAATTCAAACTCGATTAAAGTAGCCAAAACAACTTGTGGGAAGCATTTCTTTTGAGTTCAGACTGAATGTTGATTAAACACTTAAACCCATCCTGGTTTCCTCCCGCAGAAAACCTTTTAATAATCTTATCCGTACACATGGGTGAACTTGCAACTGTCAAAAAAAACAGATGTTTGTTCAGTGCTGGGCCCAAATTCCTGTTTTTATTTTCCACAGGAAGTGTCATTTTTGCCCTCTGGTCACTTGAAAACATTACACGATCACATTTTCTGGCTTCCAAAATTTAACCGTGCTGTACACATTCAACTATATTGCGTAAGGCAGGGGTAGGCAACCTTGGCTCTTTTATGACTCGTGGACTTCAACTCCCAGAATCCCTGAGCCAGCCTGGCTCAGCTTGGAAACCTCTCCCTTTCCCCTCAGCTTGGCTGGCTCAGGAATTCTGGGAGTTGAAGTCCACGAATCATAAAGTGGCCTAGGCCTAGGCCAGAGGTAGGCAACCTTGGTTCTTTTATGATTCGTGGACTTCAACTCCCAGAATTCCTGAGCCAGCCATGCTGAGGGGAAAGGGAGAGGTTTCCAAGCTGAGCCATGCTGGCTCAGGAATTCTGGGGGTTGAAGTCCAAGGTCATGTGATCAAAACTGGGGTGCTTGGCAAGCAGTCTGTATTAATAAGTATTGCAGGATGCAATTATTATGTGATTGTCATTTGCGACCTTCCTAGCCAGTTTCTGACAAGCAATTTGGGGGGGGGGGAGAGAGCCAGATTCGTTTAACAACCACTTGAATCATTTAACAACTGCTGTGTTTTGCTTAATGATCCTGGCAAATAAGGTCATAAAATGGGGTGCAACTCACTTAACAACCCTCTTGCTTAGCCTTTAAATTCTGGCCATGGTCGTAAGTTAAGGACTACCTGTACACCCGGCAATGTTGCACAATATTCAAACAATTGTAAAGCAGAATTGTAAACGCACCTGGACCCAGTGAAATTCAGGAAACCTCCTTCTAAATACATATATGCTTTCAAATCTGTGACATGACATTCTAATACAGTCCAAAGGAACCCTAAAAAACAGAGGAAGGAAGGAAGGAAGGAAGGAACGAAGGAAGGAAGGAAGGAAGGAAGGGAGGGAGGGAGGGAGGGAGGGAGGGGGGTAGCAAAAAGAGGAGAGGAGAGGAGAGGAGAGGGAGAGAAGGGTACCAAAAGGAGAAGAGGAGAGGAGAGGGAGGGAGGGAAGTGTACCAAAAGGAGAAGAGGAGAAGAGAGGAGAGGAGAGGAGAGGGAGGGAGGGAGGGAAGGGTACCAAAAGGAGAAGAGGAGAGGAGAGGAGAGGAGAGGGAGGGAGGGAAGGGTACCAAAAGGAGAAGAGAGGAGAGGAGAGGGAAGGGAGGGAGGCAAAAGGAGGAGAGGAGAGGAAAGGAGAGGAGAGGGAGGGAAGGGTAGCAAAAGGAGGAGAGAGAGGAGAGGGAGGGAGGGAAAAGTACCAAAAGGAGAATAGGAGAGGAGAGGAGAGGAGAGGGAGGGAGGAAAGGAAGGAAGGCAGGCAGGCAGGAAGGAAGGGAGGAAGGAAGGAAGTGCTCTGCAGAACTGGTCCCTTGCTGAAGAAAAGGGAGAAACTCAGAACTCAAATAAACATTGCTCTCACACATTTGGCCTGAGGTCCTGAGAAGGTGCCTCAATTATCCACCTGGTATTTCCAAGGCAGGATCTGAAACTCAGGATTCAGAAGAGGGAGAGGAAGGAGTTCTCTCCAATGGGAAGATGATCCATAATGTCTCTAAACAATGTCCGAGGGTTGGAAGGTTCACCTATGTCATCACTAAGAATATAGAGATTCAGAACCTCTTTCCAATCCTAGCTGTGTTCCTCAACCTTGGCCACAGAATTCTGGGAGTTGAAGTCCACACATCTTCAAGGGGCCAAGGTCGAGAAGCACTGTCCTAGTGGGACTGTGCCCTTAAGAATACATTCACGCTGAGAATTGAACTAGATATCAAAGCTAAACCAAGATCCAACTTCGCAAGTCATTATATTACAGTGGTGGCGAACCTATGGCACGGGTGCCAGAGGCGACACTCAGAGCCCTCTCTGTGGGCACGCACGCCGTCACCCCAGTCCTAGGCCTTCAGCTGGATTTTATAAATCCTTTTCGCTTTACGCCAGGGATTTTCAACCTTTTCACCCATTGTACCACTTTTAGGATATGGTAATTTCCGAGTACCACCAAGGTGTTAAAAACTTGACCAAAAAAAAAAAAAAAAGAAAAGGAAAAAAGTGATAAAGTACAGGTAGTCCACGACTTACAACAGTTCGCTTAGTGACTGTTCGAAGTTACAATGGCACTGAAAAAAGTGCCCCCCAAGGCACAGCTGAGCAAGACACCTGCCTGCCCACCTGGCAGCGCTCTTCCTCCTGTCCGAGGTTTCCATTGTTCTGAGCATTTCTGTTGAGGATTGGCAGCGGGGATGGGGTGGGGGGGTGTTTGATTTTTATTCCCCCGTCTGCTGGGTGGTTGCAGCAGGATTTGGTCACTTCACATGACCCTGGGACACTGTGACCGTCATAAATACGAATCAGTTGCCAAGCATCTGAATGTAAATCACAAGACCCTGGAGACGCTGCAATATTCCAGCTGATCGGCGCGTCTTCTGGGCTCAGCAGAAGTGCCAGGATCAGCAACGAGCTCCAGCTGGAGCCTGGCGCTGATCCTGGTGCTTCCACTGATCCCTGACAGCCCAGAAGAAGCGCTGATCCTGGTGCTTCCGCTGAGCCCTGACAACCCTGCAGCTCCAGCCGTCTCTCGCTCAGGCTTGTGCGGTGCTACCACCGGTTCAGCTCATTCACCTCTCCCGCTACTACGTTTCTAGGATGGTCGCATACCACCTGCCAGGTGCCAATGTACCACAGGTGGTACCCGTACCACTGTTTGAAAAGCCCTGCTTTAGGCCTCCGCCACCGTGTGCAAAAAAAAAGGGTTCAATCAGTGAATTTCAACTTCTCGCGGGAAAAAAAAAGATCTTGCAAAGTTGGAATTGATTGATTGAACTTTTTAGTCCCACCCAGTCTGCCGTTACCACCGCAGCCATGCCCACTCAATGGGCCACACCCAGCCAATGGGCCACACCCACCCGGCACCCAACGATGCATAAATGGGTTTTGCGTTGCAGTTTGG